GTATTATGACGGCGTTTTCCGTGTTGACTTACACTATATATATTTATATATTACATATACTTGGACAAGGTTTATTTGCACGTCCACCGTAATATTACGACCGCTCGAATAACGCGTAAAAACGTTTTACACCACGTCCGTCACAGTAATACTTTGTTCCTGGGCGATTTTTCATTTTCCTTATCCGCGGTGGCACATCGACCGTCACCGCTTTAATACTGTCGGGGTTCGTCACGATTTGTTTGTTAACGTGCAACGACCAAAGTTTAATAATTAATAATAATGAATGATACGTTTCGTCCATTTAGTGGATGTCTGCAACTTCATGAGAAATATCCAATAACGCGCATACATCGTAAATAACGATAATAATCATTTGTAATGACTTTCGCAAATAAATTTCAGTAAAAAAAAAAAAAAAATTATTTCGTAAAGTTTTCATGAGTAAGTATTTTGGATTTACGTTTTATGTATTGGTTGTTCCCACAATAGAGATTTCACTAAATATCTTATGTCAATTATCAAAATATGAATAGAGATTAAAATGCTGGGAAACGTCTAGAAAAATACGGGGAAATTTCGTAAAAACCTTTTTTTTTTTCCAGAGTACTAGAAAATACCGAACAATTGGAGAATATTAAAATAATACATTTCAGTAAAAAACCGACGTTTTAGAAAAAATAAAAGATTTTTCGGAAAATTAGAATACTTTTATCAACGCTTAACATTTTTTAAATATAAAGAAATTGGTTAAAACTTTTTTCGAATAAATAAAAAAAAACAATTCAGAGCGAAGTTCAGTTATACTTGTTTTGGCTGTAATATTTACGATTTTTGTTAAAATTTGATGTTAAAGATCTTAAAAAAAAAAAAAAGAAACTATATTAAACTTAATTTGTTTTTTTATCACTTATATGGGTTTATAATTAACTTCTAATTAAATGTTCAAGTATTTCTGTTTGGTCAAACAATTTTATCCATAGAGTGTGCCCACCGAATAAAAATTACACAAGAAACTCGCAAAATTAAAATGTCTTTAAATAACTCAAAAATTGCTGAAAAATATTAAAAATATAACTAGAAAAAGCAAACATAAAGTTTCTTTCCAAATTTCAAGTTTCTATGAACATTTTGAACTATATAATAAAAAGAAAAATTGAAAATAATAAAAGTATCAATTTCATAAATTTTCCCAGTTTTTCCCAATTATTATGAAACACTTCTTGAAAAACCATGAATGACCTGGTTAAAGCACCATCACAGGAAAATTTCCTATCAGAAAAAGTGCTACACTTGATACATCGGAGCAAGATTTCTGGAAGAATTTTTGTACCCAGCATAAAAAATAAACAACATTGTAAAACCAATATATTCCTCGCTCCGCACAGGATCTAAATGACTGCTTAAGATTATCAAAAGGTCTACTTTGTAGCTGAGAGGTATTATCGTTAAGATAAAATACGAAATTTTCAAGTGCTATGCGAATTTTGGTCATAAAAGATCAACTATATAGAATATTAAAAAAAAAAAGTAAAAAATTTCAAGCGGTCTGAAAAATCGCTCAAAGAATATAACATTATTATAAAATAAGATACGTATAATAATGTTTTTATCAGATGTTCGCCATTCGACGTGTTTAAACCGTTGATTTTTATTAGGTATTTTTAATACGACCGGATCCGCCTTAGTGATGTCGTACATCAAAATATGGGCAACTCGGGTTTTTTTTTTTCCTGAAAACTAAACAATAATAATATTATATTAAAGTAGACTTACAAAAAGTACCGGTGTAATAATATTTAGAAAAAAAACACAAGTTACCTAACGAATCCGAGCGTAAGTATACGGAGTACATATTCGAGTCATGCACGCGCGCGTGTGTGGAACCCGATTTTTAAAAAATGCACTATCGTAAGTGTAGGTATTTTAAATTGTTATAAAAAATAAACGCGTACAAATATATAGTAACAAACCATTTAGCCGTGTAAATATGCAGATCTTAATTTATAGATTGGGGCATCCGTATTTTGTAATAATACGACAATGACGTGTTCATAATAACTTATCGATAAAATCGAAAATATGTGATTATAATATTTAATAGCGCGTAGGTAAAAACAAATTTTTAGCGTGACTGGTCGTACGTAAAACGATAAGTTTCAGTTGTTTATGCAGAAGCGTTATTCGAGAAATTCAGACTATACTTTTGTAACCATATTTTAGATTTTAGGTGGAGCCAAGAATGTATTGGTTTTACAAAGATGTTTATTTTTTCTTTATTTTTTTTTTATGTGAACACTTTTTCAGCTTACTCCAATGTATACGATGTAGGCCTTTTTCTGAAAGGAAATTTTCTTGGAGTGGTACTTAAGGGAGATCATTTTTTTATTTTTCTGGCAGTTTTCTAAATAAACGGGAAAAAGTGAGAAAAAACGGGAAAATTTACGAAATATATTAGTAGAATACTATGATTTTTTTTTTATGGATAACTTTTCTACCAGCAATTTCGCTCCTATTTACAATGATAGCATTTTGTCTAAAAGGAAATCTGACTAGGGAGGTACTTTAGTGAGGTAATTTTTTGGTTTTCCGGGATTTTTCCCAGCAAATGGAAAGAAATGGGGAAAAAATGGGAAAATCGGGAAAAGTATAGGAAAAATGGGAAAAATATTAAACAAATATTATTAAAGAAAACATATAATAACTATTTAATTATTTTATCATAATATGACGTTTATATTTTTAGCAAAGCATCACTAAACTCAACTGAAACTCTGCTCAAAATCATTTTTAGTAGCAATGGTTTATCATTGCTATTACAGATATGAATTAATTTCCCCTCTATATTCTTCCCAAATTCTCACCAACAACAGTTGCTGCGCCTATAGTGCGAAGTATATCCGTCTTTTTTTAAATGTGTTTTTAGTTCACGTAAAATGTTATAATTTCGCCTTCGTCAATAAAAAGCCCGATGCAAAGGTAGTTGAACCACTACTAATAACCATCTCTACTGGGGTCCGGCAATCTGAGATGTGATAATGAGACACAGACGACTAGCCGTTACCACGGTTAATATTATTACTGTAGATAACGATTAAAGATAGTACTATCTTTATTTGTGGTTTAAATGTTATAATATAATATAGTAAATAGATTTATGATATTGAAATTTAGTTTTACAACTTTTTTTTTTTTTAAAGAATTATTTCTCTATAATTTATAGTATAAAGTTGTTTATTTATTTATAAAGTACCATCACCAGGTGGATAGTCCGAATCTTTCAAGACGTATCGGGTGAGACAAAGTAAAAAGTATTGCGGATTTCGAAAACATTTTCAAATAAAATACCACTAGGCAATAAATAACATACATAATATACTACAAAATAATATATTTATCAGTGATAATAAACTGTACACCATTACATTGACTACTGTAAATTTCGTGCAATTTTAGGCCCTGCACAAAAACATTAGACCGTCACAAATAAGTCACACAATACGTAAAACTTCGTCTAGTGTACAGCTGTTTTTGACGACGTAGAGAATTATAGGCGATCGATAAAAGTTCTTCGGGTGTTAATAATAATAAAATACGCATCCGTCTTTCATTACGATCGTCTTAACCGGAAACGAGTCTTACAAAATTAATTTTTACTTGTACAACTTATTGTACTTGTTTATTATAAGTACAAGTGAAATAACCAGCAAATCTAATACGCGTACTCGAATAATAGAGTATATTTGTTTTACTATGCACTATTATGACGCCATACAGAATAATATTGAATTATTAATCGACACTAACACGTTTCAGCGGAAAGACAAAAATCTCCATATTATTCATGGTATGATTGTGTAATATAACAGTCAAAATATTGAGAAAAAATTAATGAATCGTTGATACCAATTTCGTAATACGTAATCGCGCGAAATGGTTTTTTGATGTTATGCTTTGAGGTTATAATGTTGGAACCAAATATTTGTTATTTTTGCGTTGACGAAATCTAAACCTACAGAAATTGTACAAAGCCCGACAGGACAATAATATAATATACAATATTAACTGATTAAACTGAATATAAACAGAGATGTATAGCGTCAGATATTATTGCGCGTTTATAAATTTTTGAATTTCGTAAAATGAAAGATAACGAAAAGAATATTGTTTTTTGACGAATAACGAGCAAATAATAATACCGTAATATATTCTTAAGTAGACACGACATTATGCGCGTATAGGTTACCTACCCAATGAAATACTATTATACAGTCAAGAAAACGACAAAACGAATCGGGTGCGTTGCCAAAACGCACATGGCACGGGGTTTAACGTCCTCGCCGTCATCGTAAATACGATTTTTATTGGATCTCGTAAGTTTGTCGACGTTAGGTGTAAAATATCATATTTTTATTATTATTATTATTATTTTTTTTTTTTGTCGTCCGTGTCTGTGAGTAATGTTTCATCGAGGTTCGCACAACCGGTCAAACGAAAGAAAAAATAATCGCATCCATAATATTATTTTACGTCACCTACTGCACATCATCCGAAGAACGGTGACAACACTGCGCACGGTCGTTAAGCACCTCGATGATATATGCTATTTACGTTTATTGCGCGCGTGCACTTTTGTTTACATGCACGCGTAATAATACACTCGGACGACGACGTAAATGTGACACGTCGTTAAGCGACTGTATAATAACAAGTAGATGTTAATTATTATAATATAATACAATATTATATTAAAATACCCGTACGAAATTGAAAAAAAAAAAAACAAAGTCACACACACGTCTTTCAGCTAAACGGAGCGTCACGATAGTAACAATATTATTATCACGGCGCCATCTCGCGTACAATAGGTATTGCCTGCGTTTCGTTGCGGTGTGTGCCCACCCAGTTCATATATATTTTGTTAACCGTAGTCGCAGAATAATATTAATTATTACTATCCGCGTGCGAGAAATCGGCGCGATAAAATAATAATAATATTGGTGAACTTATTATTATGGCCATTGATTATTCAACACATTAATAGGCCACTCCTATAATACATTGTAGGCCGCGGTCCAAGTTTTTTTTTTTACAGTGAAGGCCAATATTCACGCGCAAAAGAATACTACTGATAAGAACTGTTAATCATATCTATGCCATATCTAACTATATGGCATAGATTACAGATAACAGATATCGGTAGTGGCCACAAAAGTTGGTGCCGCAGTGGAAGCGTTACCAAATCGGAATGTATACATTTTCTCAACACCTACCCGTAAAATATTGTGACATAGAAATTCGTATATTCGCAAAAATATGTATGAAAACGAAAGAGAGGGACACAGTTCGCGGATAGGCCATTGCTGTAGAAAGTTTGGAAGGTATAGGATACACAATATTATACATGTAAGGTAGTATGTAAGTATATGCCTATCCAGTATACAACGATAAATCATTGCAAAAAAAAAAACTATTCTGAACAAAGTTTAGTTGAGCATTTAATTGATTATTAAATTATTTACCGGTATTTGTCTGGTTTCTCTAGGTTTTAAACAACATAATATAAAATTATAAAAATGAAACCCCTGAAGTTAATAATTGGAACAAGATTTCAACGTTGTTTAAATTAACAAAAACTAAAAAGCAAATCAAAATAAAACTAATTAGTTACTTCGCAAGGAATCTAAAAATGTATACATTTCTTATGGTCAAACAATATAAAACCGTAACCGATTACCTTTTAAATGAATACAAAACATGTTTTTTTTTGACATTTTTAATTATCATATAATATTAAGTAAGAAAATAAACAAGAATGTAAATATAGCTAATATACTATTCTGATACTTAAACACCGTGTAACAAAAATTAAAAAGAATATGGCCTAAATGTATATATTTATTTTATTTTTTGCCTCCTAAATTTGTAATTTATTTCCTATAAGACCTTTTTGAGAATTTTTAAATGTAGTAAAATATGGGTGTTGACCAATCGTAAAAAAATATGTATGCCAATTATTTTATGCTATTTTATGCTTTATTATTGTTTATTAAATATTATTCTAATTGGTCTATTTTACAAGATTTTTATTATTTGTATTTAATATTTTATTAAAATATTATTTGCTTATTTGTTTAAGAATTTACCTTCTCTATTTTACCACTGGTGTTTGACTGTGGTCGTGTGTATGATATATTGGGGGCAACTGGTGCATTTTACTCCAGGTAATTTTGGAGGAATTGGTATAAAAAAAAAACTTATGAGAGCAACTGGTATACGCCCTGAAATATTCAGTTACTATAATATTTTTGTGATTTTTGTGTAGGTATAATGCGCGTGATCGTTATGTTACGATTGATAAAGTCCTAATGCGACCGTAAAAAACGCAAATATATAGTGACTGTCTGGCGGTAATACAAATATTTATATTTTTATCTCCCAATTCGTTAAACATAAAATTTGTCTACCTATTTACGACACATCTATAAAACCGGTGTAGTATATGTTACTACACCAATTTTATAATAATACAAAATTATTATTCGCGGTAGAAACGGTAAAATATCACGCTACACAAAAAAATATACAAGCATAAGCAAAAAATTAACAACAAATATACGAGTATAATATTGTATTTTTATAAAGTTCGATATTCCAGCGTCTGGTGATCGCCCATTTATTCATATTATATTGTATGTTATTTTATGGCGATCAAAAAAGGTTTGAGAAAAGCTCGGTAAATATTATACAACGTTTGTTAAGAATAATAAAATATCGATTTTTACGATTTGAGTGATAGTCTGGAGCAAAAAAAAAATATATATACACAGGTACCTATACTAAATTTGCTGCTTTTTGTTCGATTTTATTTCGAATACGCGCATTCTGCAATTTGAGCACAACATGCAACGTTTGTTTAAATAACAATAATTCATTCATTCACAACTCGAACGTAATGTGTTACAGTTTAAAAGATACTGTCGATTCACTACTGTCTATGCTATAAGCGTAACTAGATGGTGCTTAGGTGGGGGGGGGGGTTCAAACCCCCCAGAATTACTTAAAGCCCTCCAGAATTTTCAGGTAAATAAACGTATTTAAAACATATTTATGCCTATAAACATATTAGTATTAGCTTTATTTTTGTCTATAATGCAAAGATACATAAGATACAAAGTATTATACGGATATTTAAAAATATCTGTATAATACTATATACGTATGATTTTTGATGTTGAATATTATTAATTATTATATTAGGTATAATATACATTTTATATTTTCGTGGAATTCTGGTAAAACAAAAAATTGTTATGCATTATTGATTATTATTAGTCAATCTAAATTTTACTCATAATTTATATAAATTAATTAATATAATTTATTTATTTATTATAATTAATTAAAAGGTAATTCATATAAATTATAACTTATAATTGTGTGGAGACAATTGTGTTCCCATAGGTACTTTATTTTGCTATAAAATATTTTTTTAGGAATCCAGCCCCCCTAACTTAAAGGACTAGTTACGCCTATGGTCTATCAGCATAATATAGACTAGAAGGATATTTCTAAATTGTATTTTATAACAATATATTGTAAACTACACGTTCAAATTAAACGAGAAAGGTCAATTTATTCTATATTTAACATATCCCCGCACTCGTAAAACCATATAGTATATAATTTGACTGTGTTAAACACGATTATTATTATATTTTGCGACGACATCGACTAATTTACGATTATTCTAGTAAACATATTTTACACACTTCGTTAATATATTATATTAACCCAAGTATTTAACGAATCATCATCAAAATAAAGAATACAAAACGACTATAACTGTTGGCCAGTTGGCACACAATTTTAGAAACAATATACCTAATGATGATTGACAGTCATCGTAAATTACAGAGTAAGCATTTGGATTTACTAAAAGTTGTTTAATATAATCAGATAGCATATGTTGGCTGTACGTTTTTGGCAATAGCACTCTGAATACTGCAAAAGAAGATGATTACTTACTGCAGTGCGAATATTATTGAGAATATAAATCGGGTCAAATGTTTGAATTAATAATTGGTTCACTTCCTGATTATTATAAATAATCGAACTCTCAAATAAATTAAATCTTATTAATTTTAAATTGAAACCGGAACAGTTCAAAATAACCTATAAAAGTAGGTTATTATTTTTAGATGTACACGTTCAATTGAAAACTGCAATCACCGCACTACACGGCTACCTACCTATACAATCCTTATATTTATAAAGGAGGTGTAGTTTTAGTTGTCGAATCGAATGAAATTAATATTGCTAAACACCTGTGTAACCTAAATAAAATGAGTAACTCAGAAATATTTCGATATTTCGTTGAAAACATAAAAGTAATAATATATTTTCAAATATTTTATAAACCAAGAGCATAGAATAAGAAACAAATACACATTATAACACACAATATATTATTATAATTTTTTTTTACATTTAATTCAATCAGTATAAATGTTATGATATTAAATGTACACATGTACATATACTTTTTATCTATACAAATTATTAAAAACCATATGGTAGGTCTTTATAAAAATGTGAAAGGGGTTTTTTTTCATTCAAACTAAATTTCTATATGCATATAGTTACTATTACATTAATGTGCACAGAATACAAAAATTCAAAATGGAATAAAATACACGCTGAATGTATACATCAATCAAACAAGACAGGCTAAGAAAATAATTCAATTATTTATTGAAAATATATTATTCACTTAAAAAAAAAAATTATTATTATTATTATATTTTTTTTAATGTAAGGGATGAAGAAAAACCCGTCATTAGTTTATGATTGATATCGATAATATAAAAACACAAAAAACGGTCTGTATACGTAATATTAACGAAAGCACACTTTATATTATTGCCTAGTATAATACCGATGATGTGATGTTCGAGACTTAATCTACACAAGAAGAATATTACCTAAAAGGCTATATTTTTTAAAAGTTCACACAATCGGGACATTATATTACACTGTCAATATGCAAATATGCGATACATTCCTAGACAAATTCATTTGACGAAAAGTATTAGTTTATTAGTTGTATGCTCGTTATACGAGTATGACGGGTTATAACAGTCATTAAAATATTTAAAACGTGTGATGCTAATTCTAAATACTGCAAATCTTTGAGGCGATACTGAAAATTGAATGAATTGTATTTCATTGTTATATTAGGTAATCATTACGAAATATTGATGAATAAAATGTTTAAGTAAGAAATATTTATAATATATAAAATACTAGCTATCGAGCGCCCGGCGTTGTCCGTACCAATTTTGAATACTATTATTTTACCTACATTCATTTTTTTCTTTTGGCCGTGTTAGAATTAAATAAAACCAATTAGGTTGAATATGAGTAGTCCGCCCCTGGCGGACTAAATTTGTTCTATTATGAAATTTTAATACTTTAAATAATAGTAGTATAATAATTCTAATAGTTTTTTCCCCTAGCACCAAAGTAACCCTTGAATAAACAAAAAAAAATAAATAAGCAATTAGATATTCGTACCAAATATATCTAAAAACCAATATTTTACCCTCTTAGGGGTTGAGTTTTCAAAAATCCTTTCTTAGCGAATACCTACATCATAATAGTTATTTGTGGGTCAAATTTCAGCCCGATCCGTCCAGTGGTTTGGGCTAGGCGTTGATAAATCAGTCAGTCAGTCAGGATTTCATTTTATATATATATAAATATGCAGTGTTTACCCACCATGTTCGGCAGATTTCTCTTGAAAATAGGCGTGAAACAATTAATATTCAGTAGAAGGTAAAATTTACCGTGCTGATTATTATTTCTTATCACATAACATATTATTTTATTGGATATTAATTATTTTTTCTCCTGATTAAAATTACTATAACTAAGAGATATTCATCGAATATGAATGTCTAATACATTAAAATGTTTAAATAATATTTTTTACAAAATGGCTAATTTAAAAATTTCCTAAGTGAACAGAAAAAAATTTTTATTTTTTTGTTTCAGGGATGAAAATAAATTCTATAATTATTATTATTAGTATTATTCTACAAATCGATGTTATTCTCGAAGACAAACCGATTGAAAAAAACAATCGAAAAAAATGTAATATCAACAGTGCTAGAAAAATCCGTCGAACATGGTAAAACACTCTATATATGTATATATGTCATAGATCATATGGAAAATTAGGCTTTTCGCAAAAAACTAGGCTCTTTGCAAAGAGGTAGGGCGTTTGCAAACTACTTATTATTTTTCCGAACGACTGGCTGTTTTTCAGGTTTATACACAGGCACAAT